AATCGGTGAACAACCGGTTAACCACTCACTTCATTGGTTGAACCATTGAACCGCTTGGTTACTGAAATATTGGAACACACAGTCAACCGCTCGGTCTATTGGATCATTCACTTRGTACACCGAGGAAGTCATCCACTCAGTCAACCATTCAGCTAAGCACACGATGAACCACGTCGTCGATTATTCGTTGAATCATTGCTTCAGTACATTAACCACTCGGTCGACCAAACTGTCAAATAATCGATCAAGCAATCAGCCATTCAGTTACCCAGCGAGCTATCCACTCAGTGAAACATTCAATGAAGCACTCGGTCGAGCACAAGTCAACCACTCCATCTATTACTCTGTCAACCAGAATGTCAAACAATCGGTCAACCAATCAATGGATCAGTCAGACATTCAGTCAACTTATCATTCAACCACTCAGACAATTACTCGGACGAGTATTTCATGTCATTAACCAAGGAGTTGTGTGATGAGGTAAGTAATTTCTGAACTCAATGGTTAACCAATTAATCAACCACATACTCAACCGTGCATGCTGTTGGATTATTCATTACTGAAATACTCAGTCATCCACAGTTAACCCTCAAGCCAAATACTTGGTCAGCCATCCAGTCGAGAGAAGTTGGTGATGAGGTAATCATTCTGTCAAACTAATTGGTCACGAATATATCAATCAGTTAGCCACTTAGTGAACTTAACCACTCAATTAATCCCACACTCAAGGAAATAGTTAACCGATCAGTCGTATGGTTAACGAAATAGTCAACCAATCAGTCGTATGAATCAATCAGTTGGCTCACGAATGTCATTCAGTTCACCACTCATTCATCTGATTAGGCGACGTACGAGTGAACAAACCAGTTAACCAATCACCACATCAGTCGTATGGGTAACGAAATAATCAACCAATCAGTCGTATGAATCAGTCAGTTGGCTCACGTATGCCATTCAGTTCACCACTCATTCATCTGATTAGGCGACTTACGAGTGAACAAACCAGTTAACCAATCACCACAATTATTTTTTAACCACTCACTTCATTTCCCAACCCATTTTTTAACCGATTGGTTTAACCAATTTATCAACCACGCAGTCAACTGTTAATTCTGCTGGATCATCCATTCGGTGAAGTGCTCAGACATCAACGCAGTCAACCCTCCAACCATTTTTTAATCACTCACTTGATTGCCCAACCCATTTCCTGTCTCTTATACACATCTAGATGTGTATAAGAGACAGGTCGTATGGTTAACGAAATAGTCAACCAATCAGTCGTATGAATCAGTCAGTTGGCTCACGTATGCCATTCAGTTCACCACTCATTCATCTGATTAGGCGACTTACGAGTGAACAAACCAGTTAACCAATCACCACAATAATTTCTGTCTCTTATACACATCTAGATGTGTATAAGAGACAGATCAACCACTCCGAGAATTATCTAGTCGAGCAATCGGTGATGAGTGGATCATTACTCAACCACTCCAACAACCACTCGGTCAAACAAGTCAAACATTCGGTCAAACAATATGTCAATTTGTTAGCCACTTAGTCCATTTGTTATACAACCATTAAATGAGTCAACCACACAGTCAACCACTCATTCTRATGGATCATCYATTTAGTGAAGCACTCAGTCATCCATACAGTTGAACCCTCCGTCCGTTAAACTGATCGCAGTCCACTTGGTRATGAGGGAATCCTTCCGTTAAACTGATCGGTCATCCAATATGTCAATCGACTAGCCACTTGGTGAAYTTATTATTCAACCACTCAATTAATGAAGCATACTGTCAGCCGCTCATTCTGCTGGATCATCCAATCTGTCAATCACCTAGTCATGCACACAGTCAACCACGGCTGCTGGATCATCCAATCTGTCAATCACCTAGTCATGCACACAGTCAACCATCCAGGCAGGCAGTCAATCTCACTCGGTGATGATTGAATCATTACTCAACCATCCAATAACCACTCATGCAGCCAAACTGTCAAACAATCGGTCAACTAATATGTGAATCGGTTAGCCACTTAGTAAACTTATTACTCATTCTGTCAATCACTGACTCATCCACTCAGTCAACCATTCAGCTAAGCAGTCGGTCAACCATCCAGTCGAACACTTGGTAATGAAAAGTCACTCAGTCAACCAAACTGTAAAACAATCGTTCAAGCAATATGTCAATCGGYCAGCCACTCAGTCAACTCAATATTCAGTCATTCAAGCGCTCTATCACTACTCAAGYAGTCCATCGTGGAATGGWGTTGAAGATGGTAAATATATAAAAAAWTATACATATGATTTTATATATGTTGTAGGGATAAAAACGAGGTAGAGTAGATGTGTGATAAAGTAGATTTGTCGAAAAACAATTCATGCAATGCTTACATTGAGTATGAAAAGAGACAAAAGCATGCGTGGTAGATGGTTGACTAGATCAAGGTTATGTTTATTTTACTTAGTCAGGTAGACTTCGGACTTAAAAAATTGTAGGAGGATTTTTCTTAACGGTGTGGTCGTGATGATTTGAGTTAACTGATGTTTTTATAAATTTTCGGGTTAAATTTTTAGACTGAAGCACTATGATTCCACATAGTGCTTTTTTTTTTTTTTTTTTTGCTTGAACTGCAGCATGAACATCATCATGCGACTCCACATCATCCTATGGATGATGAACCTCCTTTCATAGGTGCATACCTTTTTTGTCTTGTGCCTTTCATTTGGTCGTCAATGGACTATAAAACGATAGTTGCACAACCTCCTTCGAGAGACTATAATTTTTCTTTCGCATGATTGAAGTTACCCATTGTCGCCGTCTTCCCTTATTTTAGTACTCGGTCCATCAGGGTTATACATCTGCCGAGGCACTTACCTATTAACACGTCGCAACTTATGTCGTTTGCATGACGGAAAACTGCGACGTGTGGTTCTGCATATACCTCGGAGGGGCTTCGATTCGACTTCACGCGCAGGGGGGTTGGAGGGTAGCTTCAATACATCGGCCAAGTACTGATGGTTGAAGGTTGATTATATTGCTGTCGGATAATTTTCACAGAGTCGAAGGTTGTCCACGCATATAAGAATACGAGGTGATCAGTTTAAAGAAATACATATACATTCTGTAGGAAGAATATAGTGAGGATACAAACGGCGAAGGTTTTCTGCAGGTTGCTCTTTGGACGTCTTAGCGAATGGGCTACCATCGGGAGGATCATGGAGAAGCTGAACATGATTTTTGTGGCTTGTCCAAATTTCCCCTGGCACATTGATTTTGAGTGGATACGGACCACTTTGCAACCGCCATTCTTTTTTTAGTTTTATAAATGATTGGTCGCCAGAAAACTGGTTTGTACATACGGTAAATGAAATTTGCACATTGTATTCAGGTATGGCAAGCATGAAGGGGAGTAAATGGGCATTTCGACGACATTTCATTCGAAAGTTTGTTGCAGAAAAGAAGAATGTAGCCGTTCAAGTTTTTGGTAGACGGTCGACAAGAAGTTACGTCAGAGAGACTAGTGAGTTGCATGAGGGTGACCACTTTGCTCACGTCTCGAGGGACGACGTGAGTGAGAGAGATGCACATGGTCGAGATGAGGTTGAAGAGGAAGCACATCGCGAAGCAGCAGATAATGCGAGAGAAGACGTTGAAATGGGAATAAGCGAAAAGAGAGAAGATGTTGGGATAAATGTTGAAGGAGAAGTGAATGAGGATGAGAAATTTGACGAAGGAGGAGGAATAAAGAAAGGGGATGACGAAGGGAACAAATATCATGAACGAGAAGGGGGAGATAGAGGGCAAGGTGGTGTCGAATGGGGAAAAGATGATGCAATGAACGACACGGAGAAAAAGAAATACCATCATGAAGAAAAAGCAGAGGAAGAGAAGGGCGACGATGAAGACAAAACGAATGATGAAGAAAGAGGTGAAGTAGACGTAAGTGAGGAAGCAGAGGAGGAAGAGAAATGTGGCAATAAAGAGAAAGCAGGTGAGAAGGCAAAAAGTGACAATGAAGAGGAGATGCATGATAACGAAAAAGGATATACAGCCGAAGGTGAAAAAGAAGAAGGGGTGGAAAATCATAATGAAAAAAATACGGACGAGGAAGAGAAAAATGACGACGAAGAGAAAATGGATGAGGATAAAAGAGGAGACGGGCGAATGTGAAAAAGAAGAAGGGGAGAATGAATGGGGTGTTGAAGGATATACAGAGGATGAGGAGGAGAACGAGGATGATGAAAATGAAAACAACGGAGAGAAGTTTGTGGAAAGAGAAAGTAGTAAGAAGGGAGGTGAAGAAGGTGAAAGTGAAACAGAAAAAATTTTCAAGTATGAAACAGAGCGAGGGAGGAGGAAGGAAAGAATCGAAGATCGGGAAGAGGTGATGAGAACATCAATGGAAAGTGATGAGAACAAAGATGATGATCAAATTCTTTCTGCAACAGAGGACAGGGATGGAGAAAATACAGGTTCTTTGTCGCGAAGTTCGGAAGAGAGAGAGGAACGAAGAAGGATACAAGAGTCGAGGATGGAGGGAGGAGAATATGAGGGGGAGGGAAGCACTCCACACGCAAGTGTACGTCTCGAAACTCAAAATACGGAGAAAGAAGCTTGAGTAGAATCAAGTGAAGAGGAGGAGCAGGAGGAGGAGGATGAAAATGAAAACAAGAGGGGGAAATCTGTGGAAAAAGAAAGTAGTAAGAAGGGAGGTACAGAGTGAGGGAGGAGGAAGGAAAGAATCAAAGATTGGGAAGAGGTGATAAGAACATCGATGGAAAGTGATGAGAATAGAGATGATGATCAAATCCTTCCTGGAGCAGAGGTCAAGGATGAAGAAAATATAGGTTCTTTGTCACGAAGTTCAGAAGAGAGAGAGGAACGAAGAGGGATACAAGAGTCGAGGATGGAGGGAGGAGAACGTGAGGGGGAGGGAAGCACACCACACTCAAGTGAACGTCTCGAAACTCAAAACACCGAGAAAGAAGCTTGCGTAGAATCAAGTGAAGAGGAGGAGGATGAAGAAGGTATAAGAAATGCAGACATGGAGGATATTACAGATATATGCCCTGATTGGGTGGATACACGCTCGCACTTTCGTGGTGCAGAGATTGTTAACCAAGAGGATCACGACATGGTCCCTGCGTATTTGCAGTTGGACTTCGAGAAATACAAATTCGACAATTTGCGATTCGGGATAAAACATTTGGACGGAATTCGGGACATGTCACCGAGAGCTGTGTTTTTTAGATTGTGGCCACAAGAGGTTTTCAACATGATCATGAAAGAGACGAATGAGTACGCAGAGCGTCGGCTAGAAGCGGTGAGGCGAGAATCTAGGAAACCAAGGACGTGGAGACCGACGGATAGGTTAGAAATGATAGCATTTTTCGGTCTCGTGATAGCAATGGGTTTTAATCGACTGCCGAATATGAACGACTATTTGCGTACAGGAGCATGCGGAGCGGTGACGTATACCGATTTTGGAAGAGTGATGAGCAAAACTCGTTTTGAGGATATAAAAAGAATGTTTCACCTGCGCGATGCGAGTGATAGACCGGAGGAAAAAAATACAAGAGCATATCGATTGTGGCAACTGGAACCCTTAATTGAGAAATTGCGAGCAGCATCGCAAAGGTATTTCTATCCTGGCAAGGTGTTATGCTTCAACGAAAGAACGATTCCGACGAAAAATCGATTTTGCCCAGTCAAAGTGGTTAATAAAAGAAAACCTCAACCCGAGGGTATTCAAGAGTGGAGTTTGAACGACTGTGCCACAAGATATCAATTTGATTTTGATGTGTACGATCGTGTTCACAAGCAGCCGGCTGCGCCGAGATTGGACGGTGCAAGGTTAGAAAGAAAACATTTAGGAGTTTATCAAAGAGTGCTTTACGATAGAATGCGTGCGTTGGGGAAAGGGCATGTTATTGTGATGGATAGGGCCTTCGCAGAGGTCCGCTTGTTCCAACTGTTGAAGACGGAAAAGGGAATTCTCGCGACCGGCCCGGTGAAATTGCCATATCAAAAACCGACAGAAAAATATACACGCAGGAGAAGACCGACATTGCGATTTTCGTCCAGTTTGAAGCTGGAAGAAAATGCTCCCGAAGGGTCATTACGTTGGACATATACGCAGCATCCACACACAGCCATGATCGCTTGTGTGTGGAAGACAAGAAGGAATGTCATACCTTTTCTTTCGACATCCCACGGTTGTCGCCCCGTAGAGGAGGAGAAGTGGGTAGGAGGGGAGAAGATAGTCACGATGAAGCCCGAATGTATTGCGTTTTATTCAAAGCACATGCACGCAACGGATTCGTTCAACAAAATGTGCAATGGACGAATAGGCTGCGAGGAAATGATGACATCGAGACGTTGGTGGCCGCGATATCTCTGGGGAAAGCTGGATGCCATCATTACAAATGCGTACATCCTAAAGAAGGTAGGTGGTGTATCCGTGCAGTCTCACGATAATTTTTGTTTGGAATTGCAAAAGGAATTGGTGGCCTGTTATTTGACTGGCACCACTATTCCTCCACAACTCCAATATGGCGATTCTCGAGTGGCTATTTCCGACGAGTCTCAATACCCTGGAAGGTTTACAGATGCTCACTATCTAGGGTTATCCATACCAGATGCGAGTGGGAGACATCCTGCGCTTAATTGCGTAGTTTGCACATCGTTAACGAAAAGGAAGTACCCCGGGTGGTTACCACATCGAATTACACAAACATGCGCAATGTGTGCAGTGCCTTTATGCACAGTTCCCTGTTTCAGGCTGTTCCACCAATATGCAATCGACGGGTATGATTACAACTATCGAGCTTGCAAGCAACCGGAAGGTGCGGGGAAGTGAAGGAGAAGGTCCAGCAAAATAGAATATAAGACCCAGTTGTCCGAGCCAGTCGTAAGAGGAGAGAAAATACCCCTAAATTTGCACTATGATGTAACGAAAGGAGGTGAGGGATGGGAAAAGATTGTGGAGGAGGATGTATTTCATCACTCTGAGATGGAGCAATCGGATGAGTCTGCGTTGTGACACGTATGCACCCTCGTACGAGTACGCTGCTAGTACGGTGTGGGGGCGCGATGGACTTTTATAATTTATTTTCTTTCCTTTTCCTTTTATGTTATGTTTATAAGAATTTGCAGACAATATTTAGCCAAATATAGCGTGTTTTATTTTTTTCTGGAACATACATTTATTTTTTTAAGTTGTTTCATTTTTTATTTTTTTTTTGCACGTACGGGGGTGTAGAAGGCGGAAAGGCTTGCTCAGATATTACTTGTACGTTTCGTACGGAAAGCTTTCGTACGTGTATGTTCAGTAAAGTAGGGAGTAGTTTCTAAATAAACAATAAAGCGTTTGTGCTAGAGGGAGGAAAGATTTGAGAGGATAAAGTATGAATTTGTTTTACGATGCGCAAGGCTATAAACAAAGTTTTGCAATTGATACATATATAGACAATTAAGGATAGAAAAGTGACAAAAGTAAAATTTGTAAGAGGAGACAATATTGTGTTAAAATATCCGCAAATGATCACTCATACATGATGTTGTTTGGTGGGTGATGGGTGTAATGTAGGAGGAAGGAAATGCATCAAGGGGGTGAAAAGACGAATGTGGCGGAAGAATTGGTCGACATTCAGTGCCAAATGATAGATTTGGGAAATAGGTTCGAACGTGTGAAGGATGTCATTGTTGGGCATCAAAATAATTCAATGGTAGCAGATATTCGTATGAGAAATACAATTTCTTGCACCAGCGAAGGAAGTGCGACGCCGGTAACGAGATTGTGTGTAGACGAGGCAACTTTGAAAATACTTGTAATGGACGAGGAGATCGTTGAGCTTCGCGACCAAGTTGCGTTTTTGAAAAAAGAGTGTGACAAATTATTGGCAGAAAATGATATGATGCATGTGAAACTGCGACGCTCTCGATCTGACGCATCGCAGGAAATACACGAACCTTATCGTAAAGATGAGGCTTCACTTGGCACCGAAGTAGAGGGACAGTCTTTTCGACCTGCACGAATTGGAAGCGTCAATGATAATGACATGTTTGTATCATTTCGCAAAATGACACTTGTTGAAAGTAAACAAATGTAAATGTGAGATGTTGAGTGATTTATAGTGCTAGGGAATAACGATAGGTTGTTGGTAGAGTTGATTGAGGTATCTATATTCTCGTCTTTTCGACAAGTGTTTTGAGATAGAACAATTGTGAAAAGTATCTAATAAAAGTCCTAGATTCGTTAGAATGTTTATTCTTATTTCAATACTTTTGAATACTTAGATTAGTGTTTACATTTTTTGAACGAGGTATTAATATTAGAAAGGGTCGAGTTCGTAGAGTTTCTACAAATATGATGGAGGGAACGTACGAATTGAAATAGTTTTGGAAATGTGCAGTCGCTCGAACTCTTTTATGTATGGTTGACAAACATAATTTCATAATGTTTTATTTCTTTTTTTTTCTTTTACAACGCATCATAACACTTTTGTACTTATTTTTCTTTATTCTTCGTTTCTACTCCCTACTCTCTTTCTCTCTCTCTCTCTCTCTCTCTCTCTCTCTCTCTCTCTCTCTCTCTCTCTCTCTATCTATCTATCTATCTATCTATCTATCTATCTATCTATCTATCTATCTATCTCTTTTCGCCCTCCCTCCCTCTTCCTTCCCCCGCAACACTCTCGCTCCCCAACACAGACACATTCATACACATATTCAAACACATACAAATATATTTGTATTCAATTTGAAATTTGGCTATTGAGGTTTACGAACGGAATAATTATTGTTGCAAAGAAGAGATGATAGGTATGGCGAAAGACAGGGTAAAACAATTTTTTTGTTCTCCTATAAAATGACTTTTCTTAGGGTGGAGCTCATCTCAGGCGAGCCTCGAATCTATGGTCTTCGAGATTATCTTTCTTGCAACCTGCCTTAACTAAACCACTAGTACTTCGGCCAGCTAATGAAACCGGCCCTGAATACACCCTACGCGCCGATTTTTGCCGAAGTGGAAAACGAAACAACCAAGCGAATCAGAACTCCCTTTATGACCTTGTCGTATTGTTTTTTCGAAGCGCGGAACTACCGGCGCGTTAACGGGTAAGGGCGCGTCTGATAGGCGAGCCAAGTACTGGTGGTTTAACTATAACGATTTATGGTATAACCAAATAACATATAGGGGTATATATATATATGTATATATGTCTATCTATATGTATGCATAGCTATAGACATATATATATATA